ACTAGTAATAGATTTTGCTGCAAAAGGAAATTTCTTCAACCCCATTTGCTCCCATCGGATGAAAGATATCCTTTTTCTCTTTCGCTTTCATTGTGTAGGAATTGTATCCGGTTGCAAAAGATTCAGTATATACGTTATGGTTCTTGAAGTTAATATATCTTCACCTCATATGAGGTCACAGACGCAGACTGCATTTTCAACTTCATCATCATTAAAAAGACAACATTCATGAGGTGATGAATTTGGGAGTTGTTCGACTCTACTCCACTGTCACTGCTTCCTGCTACGTGTGCTTGCCCTTCTAGCATTTCTTTGCACTAGATCAAATCGAGGTAACGAATGATTTATTTAGTTTAACTAACTATTTTTTTAAGCGGGATAAAAGCAGGAGCATTCTCCCAGATGCGCGAACAGGAAACGCCTCATATTCTCCAATGCAAGCAAAATTAAGCAAACTGGGACTCACCAGGAAACACACAAAAGCAAATTGGGACACACCCAGTGATTACATACTCGTGTAGTACTTGGAAAAATTTTATTTTGTGTCTCATACAACTGACACTAGTTGTATGAGGTATCTTTTTTGTCTCACAGTTTTATGGACCCAGATTTTTGTGGACCCAGAAGTGTAAGATTGGGGTCCACAAATTTGTGAGACAAAAAGGAACCTCACACAACTAATGTTAGTTGTGTTAAGCACACAATAAAACTTATCATTATATATATATAATCGTGCATTTTAATTTTGATTTTCATTCGGTGTGCAGTATCCATATTGAGTCCTGATTAAATTCAAATTCACGTATAAAAGTCTTCTCATTGGGATTAAAGTGCTCCCTAACAAATGTAACTTCATGTAACATACTTATCAATCCACCACAACCATTGTTGGTCTAATGGTGCATTTTTTTCACGTGGAATAATTCCAAATCTCATTGCGTCTTCCCCAATATCTCATGCGTTTTCAATTTCAAATTTCAAGCTCGGGGAGAGGAAAGGAACGAACGAATATAGAGATTGACCAAGATTGGACTATACATACTAATAAATAATTAAATACAAACAGCAATTATAGTGCTAATTAGTAAGCAGAAAAGAGACTTCCACTTGAGGTAATGACGTTTTCTTTAATTAAAGTAGGACTCTTCCTTCTTCAATAATGATAAAATGATATTTAGAGCAGTGGTAGTACCGCAGTAATTTCTGCTAGTATGTATGTCTTATCCTATGTACCCACATCAGCAACAGATACTAAATACGGAGTACACGACACTCAAAACTCACGTACCATGACAAACTTAATTGGCAGAAAAGCAACTACTCCTCATCTGCTTAATACCTTTTCTTTTGGTTTCCTATTCAGTGTCCGGTATTCGTTTTTGAGTCTGAATATATTTGAATTTGTACTGCGTAGGGCCTCATTCGGGGGAAAGCGTTCCCTGCCAAGAATTTTTTCGTACCCAGGACTCGAACCCGAAACATCTAGTTAAGGGAAGAGCAGCCTCATCCGCTGCTCAATACATTATATTCGTAAACACTTGTTATCTCAGGTTGGGAAACAAGTTATCTCAGAATTAATTATCCTGGAATTATTATATCTCGGGATTGTTATTCCACCCTCCTATAGCGAGAAAAATAATACTAAAATTCTGGAATTAGTTATATCGTGATTTTATATCAACTAAACGTAAAATAAACTCATCTCAAATTTAATCCCGAAATTAATTATACTTATAATATTAGTTGTTGAGCATGCAGCATGAATCGTGCATTCTTGCTCTTCTTTGTTTTCCTTTTTCTTGCTTTATGGTGTGTCATTCTCCATTATGCATTAAAAATGGATGAAAGTGAAAAAAAGGATATGCACTAATGTTCTTTCGTTGGCCTTTTCGATTCCAAGTGCTTAATAGAGTACAAATTAGAAGCACTTATCCTGGAGATTTTATAGGTTAAATCATATATTGTTCAGTACTTGCCCTTTGTTTTGTTTTTCTTCATGCATTTTGGAAGTTATTGGCACTATTATTTCAGAATTTTAATTTATTTTTTATCATTGACCGAGCGCACTGCGAAAATAACTTGAGGCAATATTTCATCTAAAGGTAAATTAAGCAGAACAAATTTTCCTCTCCTCCACATCTCTGCGTCGTGAAAGAATCTTAGATCCGATAAATGGGATTTAGGGAGGAAAATGAATTATAGGAACAAATTTACAAAGTTATGTGTATCCAATTTTCTTCTCTTTATGATTTTTAACTTTTTATACTTAGGTGTCTTGGGCCTTCACTGTCACACTGTGAGAAACTTCTAGAACATGATGCAACTTGTGGCAGTTAGATATCATGTCATAAATGGCAGCAATTTCTCTACACAGTACGCAGAAATTTTAAGGCCGCACTAAGATACCAAATGCACAATGTTATTTAGAGATTAACCAGTACGTATTTTAAACTAAAAATCTTAAATTCAAGGTACTTTTGTCCTGAAAAATTAAACTAAAAAACTGAAATTCAGAACGCACTGACTAATTCCTAAATAGCAGCTCTTTAAAGTGGTTACCTAGTGTCATTTCTACCTAAGACTAGTAAGGGATGCGCATGGGCCCAATAATACTATGCCTAGGTTGTGCTAATTAATTAGTATATGTGTAAATTTTCTTCTTAATTTATATATGAACCGGTAATATGAAATTTTACTTAAAATAGTTATGGATAATTTCTTAGGCGATGCTACCTTTTGTTCAAAATAAGTGTTTTTAAGTTTTTGACATACTCATTAAAAGAATCATTTAATAGCATTAATAAAAGTGTTATATAACTAAGTTAGCCTTTATATCTTCTTAAATTACTCTTTGTATATATTCATATTTTGTAGATTATTTATTGGCTCAAAGATAATTAGGAAATATACTAATTAATGCCTTCTTGATTGTTTAAAGTCATAATTATTTTTGCCAAATTAAATTAGCCAAAATAAAATGTATTTTCGATCATAGAGAAGTGCATAAAAGCTACTAAATGTACCGGTAAGGCACCACGTAACGCCTCAAAAGCTTTTATNTTAATTATTATTTTTTTTTTGACGTTTAAGTTGGACTCTATTTTGTTCTACTATTTTTTTTAATAAGATTTTAGAGATGAGTATTGCTAAAGTTAGATTAATATTAATTTACAGTGGTAGAAATGAAAGATTAATTTTAATTTAAAACCATGAGCTTCCCTTGTTTACCCAAAAAAGGACTCTAATTTTAATTTAATAGATTTTAAAAATAAATGTGTTGAAGTTAGATATATTTTTCTTTATTACGAAGGAAAAACTTTGAAAAAATATAAAAATATATTTTTTATTTACTATGAAGTTCATGTTTAAGAAGGAAAAAATTGAGACTACAAGTGCCCAAAGTATAAGCTAGACATGATTAATCATAAATTTGTGAGACGGTGAAAGTTAAATTTTATGTAATTTCAACTTCAAATAATTCTTTTTTCACCTTTTCCGATGATGGTCTAGATGGAATTCAAATTAATTAATCATTCTCCATATACAACTGTAAATGAATAAAAGCTACTAATAATATAATCTAACCTTAAGATATTTATGTTAAACTCATACATATTGCTAAATATTATATTATTTTTTTCTCATTCAAGTACTTTCTTTGTACGTTTATATATTATTTTCTCTAAATAAAAGTCAAGTCTTCTACGTAAAAGATGACAACGTAAATTATGTGTTTAAGTTTAAAGGTAAATCTACGTATAAAGATCATTAGAATTCTAAGTATTTTTATGTAGTTTTCACCTTTTAATTTATATTTGGTACTGTAGACGGTTAAATTTTTATTAAATTTAAATCCTAAAAGATTTAAATTTTACCATAAATTAAATATATATTAGTCCAAATAAATATCATGGGATAATATAATTCGGTCAATTATTTAAATCTAATTAAATTGATTTAAATAAAGGCTCAATATACCATTGGACTAGCCCATTAGTTGGTCTTCTATCAAATGGGTCAGCCCATAAGCCTCAAGCCCAATGATCCACTAGGGTTTTCTTGGAGGCTACTCCACCCACACCTATATAAAGGGGTCACAGGAGAAGTTAAAAAAAAGACAAGCAAGTAAGCAGAAAGAAAGGCTAAAGAAGCTATGAAGATAGCATCAAGGCCTCCATCCATATCTGCAATCGTCGTCTGTGGTCAAATTCCAAAGGAGAACTCCAAGTCATAGGTGGACGGCTTCAAATCTTCCGTTCGTGATAACTCAACACCAAATCCTGGTTCGTGACGACCTTCAAATTGTTCGTGACGTACTACAAATCTGAAATCCGTCAAGTTCAAGATCAAGCTTTCAAGCTCTTGAACCATCATCCGTGAGGAGAAGAATCAGAGGACTACATCTCTTTAGATTTAGAGATTGTAACCCCATCACTTGAAATTGAATATAATATTTGTTGCTGTATATTTCTTGTCTTGATTATTATTTTTCAGGAGCGAAATTTAGTTGTTACAGTTACACTTAAACTAAATTTTACAGTAAGTGTTTCAAATGACTGATAATGTGCAAACTAATACTCACATATAAATAAGAACTTCAGTGGGCCCATTTCTTCAATAAGTTGTACAATACAAATGGTTATATGCTTGCAAAATGATAGGAACGTGTAAAGCAAAGACTCAGATGGGACCACTTCATAAAAGCTTTTGGAAACTATGGTGATGTATGATAAGATAAGCAAGGGGCAATTTGGTCAAAGTCACTCAAAGATTTATATGGCAGCTACAGTAATGAGGTGCCAAGCAGGCATGTTGACCTCCTGGGTACTTATTAATAGTTCGATTAGAAAATACCAATGGGCAAAACCGGCCAGATTGGCACCTTTTTCGCAAGGGCTATCTCTGCTCATCCTACGCCAAGGAAAATACTACTGTTACTACTACTATAACATGAATTTACCAGGTCAGGTCAGCAGTTTAATTCTCAGGGAGAACGAGGCTAATGCATCAAAAAGTGTATATAAGCACATCCTGAACAAAAAGTGTAAAAAATCATACATGTCCAACTATTTATTATTTTAACTCAATTTGTATTCTGATATGACAGTAACAGAACCCACTCCATAACCAAAATGGAGCATTATAACTCCATAAGTTTTTCAAATACAAATTGTTGCTTGCGCCAAATTTTGTAGATTTCAATTGGTGGCTGCTACCAATGCCATGTGCTCTATGAGGTCCAACACTCGGTTGCTGCAAAGGTTTAAAGTCCAGTAGAACCTAGTCAGTTCTGTGCTATAGGGGTATGGACAGGAGGGGGAGGGGNCTATACCAGCTTTAGCATCAAATATGCTCGACCTACACATCAGATCAATTAACTAGTAATTCAGCATAACTTCAATCAGCAATTGATAGTATAATTCACAGTTAATACTATTTGCAGTTGTGTCTACTTATATCCTACACAAGTCGCCGCCATCTCACTTAAAATCTGGGATTGTGTAACTCTGTTTGATAGAATTTTGTCTCCGAGATAAGTTATACCACAATTTTGGTATTATTTTTATACCAGATTCAACGCGGGATAGCTAATCCAGGGATAAAACAACCAAAAGACAAAACTATCACTCTCTCAAGCTCTTCTTCCAAAGTCCTAGAAGAAGACCGAGGTTAAATTGAAAATAAAGTTTTATCCAAATTTATCTGTTACAAATCCAAACACATGCTTTATATTATACCTCGTATATCCTATTCTTAATCCAAAACATTTACCAAAAGAAGTATTCCACTAGATAATCCCATTATTATTTAATCTCCGTATTATAATCCCCACAAGATCATCCTGACCCCATTTTATATTACCACCCATCATTTTTCTTCAAATAATTATAGTTTATATTACCACTTAATGATAGTTGTCGTTACTTTTTTAGGGGGAAATTTTCTTTTGTTAATAAATCAATCTAGCATCATATTCAAAATTTTGTGTTGCTTATTCAGCAAAATTTAAGGTTTAAAAAAAATAAATAAATAAAAAATTGAGATGTTATTCTCTTATGCTTAAGGTCAGAAATGTCTGATAGAAATGCACCAGAAGCTCATGCTCCTTTATTCAGATGAACTTGTTCATATCCTCTTTTTCAGGAAAAATTTATGTAGCTGAGAAGAGGAGAGTATATCAACCTTTATTCTCTTGCATATCTAAGACCAAATTAATTTTTTTTGGGTAACTTATCTAAGACCAAAACTTTTTGAGAAAACAAAAGTTCTCCTTTGTGCTGGATTATAATTATATATAAAATTACTTAAAAGAAACAAAAAAAGATAGAGATTATGCTTTTACACATAGTTTACTGAATTATAGTGAAAAATCTTCCACTCCCACAAAAATTAAAAAAAGAGAACAAACTCCCATCCAACTCCATTGATAACCTCCGCACATAGAGGAACCTCTTGCTTTCCTCTAGTAATGTTTCAGGGTAACCACCAATTCCTTATGGCTTTAGAATGAGATGTTAAGATCATGGTTTTTAAACCAAGATATTCCCGAGGGTTGGCTGGCGCATGGTTAGAAACTCGATGGATAATAGGTGCCTGCCTTTCTACCCTTCTCCACTTAAATACCCAAATTTTGTTTATGGTAGGGTTCGAGCTCGTGACGTGAGCCTAACCAATACTTCATGCACTACACTCTTACCACTAGAACAAGCCCTTGGGTCAGATCATGAATAATTTTACAGAAACACATTCAATGAAAGGACTGCAGCGTGCAGGTGATATTTGTTTCTACAGTTCTTTTTTTAAAATATATTTTTATTTTTACAGTTCTTTTGGGTTCATGAATCTGGAAATCTTTGAGCAACAGGTTTATTCAGGGGCAATAATAGAGGGATAATTTCCCACTACCATTAACATGTTTTACATTGATCTGGTCAAAGGTGCTATAGGAGAAAGAATTCCAAAAGCAGTCAGGTTATTAGTTTCTGAAACACATTAGATGTAAAACCTCAAAGGCATGTAGGTGAATGATCCCTAAGAGCAGTGTGACAGAGATCAAAAGAGGAGTGCACAAATCTACCTGGAATCGCCAACAAAATCATTTGAGACAACATCCTCGTCTGTGTAACCCAAAATGCCTTTAAGTGGACCCTCTGATGCATACCTAGAGCCCAAAAAAACACCAAATTAGGCTAAGTAGCCTCATTAAGCAAGAGGCAGATGTATAGAGCATATAGAAGGCATACTTTATCGCTGCTTTCACATCATCATAAGAAGCACTCTTCTCTAGCCGACAAGTCAAGTCCACAACAGAGACATTAGGTGTTGGAACGCGGAAAGCCATTCCAGTGAGCTTCCCATTCAATTCTGGCAGAACTTTTCCTACTGCCTATAATTCAAATAGGAAGATTAGTCTTCCATCAGATCCACAAACTTGCCCCTCTTCCTCAACCCAATAATGGAAAGAAGAAGAGGGAAACAGAAAAAGAAAATAATATATCTATAACTTATGTAATACCTTCGCAGCACCAGTTGAACTAGGGATGATGTTTTGTCCTGCACCACGGCCTCCTCTCCAATCCTTCATCGATGGCCCATCAACAGTCTTTTGGGTAGCTGAATACGACGGCAATTCAAATCTAACATAGTAAGAATGAAAAAACATGGTTTACACGTGTTAAGAAAGAAGAGACATACCTGTTGTTGCATGCACAGTTGTCATTAATCCTTCAACAATGCCAAACTCCTCATGAACCACCTGCAACGAGCACAGCATGGGAAAGACTGTCAAAAGTGGACGACAAGCAATCATGCATGGCGGTTCAATTAAGCAAGTTCTTAAGCCAAACCTTGGCAAGGGGAGCAAGGCAATTGGTAGTACAGCTAGCATTAGAAACAACATCCATGGTGGTTTTGTAAGTTCTCTCATTCACTCCTACCACAAACATAGGTGCATCAGCTGATGGAGCTGAGATTACGACCTTTTTTGCACCACCCTGCACAATCAACCAAGAAGTATCAACATGAAGAGCTGCATGAGTAAGGAGGTGGGCAAGGAAAGAGCGTTTAAGGCTAAAAATAGCATGTTCTCGACCTTCTTATGTGCTGAGGCCTTCTCAACGGTTGTGAAAACACCAGAAGATTCAACAACATAATCTGCACCTAAATCGCCCCATGGAATATCTGCAGGATCCCTGCATCAAGAGAACTTTGCATTAGCGATAGCAATAAACTAACTTCATTTATTTGATTGTTCTTAAACTGTGTCCCTCAACTGTCATACCTTTTGCTACTGACTTTAATCTGCTTCCCATTGATTTCCAAAGTAGACTCATCCAGGACACTGATGGATGAGTTGTAGACCCCGTGAGTGGAGTCATACTTGAACATGTAAGCCTAAAACGAATGAACATCAAATGTTACAGCTTTAACCCAGAAAATTCCTCTGTTTTTTTGTTTGTTTTTGGATTCTGTAAACTCCATCAAATAAAACCCCTGCTCAGAAGCTTAACACTGGTCCTTTCCCACTTTGCTCCCTTGGTGATAAATTGGAGTTAGAGTGTCTTCATTACTAGGTTATTCCTCCCTTGTCAGCTATACCCCAGAGGACTGGAAATCTACTTGTGGAAGTACGTAAAGAATGATAGAGAATGGAGCTATTGAGCAGGAATGAAAGGCTTCAGCTCCATCAGAAGATGAAAGCATCAAATAGACCTCAAGAGGAGGAAGTGATTCATAAACACAAAAGTCAAAAAAAAAAAGACCCATCAACCTACTAGCAATGGGGGAGAAAGCATAGCATGTACGTCAACTATTTGTTTAAAGAAAGCGCCTTTTTAATGTATCCTTATTTTATATCAGGAACTTCAGTCACTTGGCAATCCTTCCTATCCAGGTCCCAATACTTAATTTTGACATCATAACATCAGCAGTAAGTAATGGAGATGTAATTTTTTTTTTTGAGAGATGTAAAATTTCTTTCTGATGAGCCTATATAACAGGGGAGCTTAACTTTACCAATCCTAATTCCATTCAGAATCAAAAATACCACAACGGCACAACTTCATAAGATATATTCTTACCATGTACTTTGCATCAATGAATGGGTCATTAACTGCCACAACTTCAATATCATCCCTGAATGTTGCAACTCGTAATACCAATCTCCCAATCCGTCCAAAACCTGCAAGGCTTTAACATTTTAGACATGCACTTACGGTGATGTTCTGCAAGAACTGTATATGAACACACACGCAGAAATTCAATCATCCATCCACGTTATCCAAATAGCGGTAGCAGAAGGTTAAATATGATTTGATGAGCTTATAAAAGGGAAAGAAAATCGAGAGACATCAGAAATGAAGCCTGCTAACGTTTTTAACCCCAGAACCTTGAGAAATACATAATCCAGAGCAAAGAAAAACAGAGCAACATACCATTTATACCAATCCTTGTCTTCCCACTGGTCCGTGACTCTGAGCAAATGCCAAAAAGCATCTTAGCAACAGGTTTGATCATCAAATCAGAAGGTTTAAGCTAGAAGTGTAAGAAACCTTACTTGGAACTGTCGGAGGCAACTCAGTAGCAGTTGCTCTAACAGGTTGAATGCTGCAGGCACCAGATTTTCTGCAGGTTTAGTTTTTTTTACATCAGCTACAGGAAAATATTCGCATTTTATAAATTACTATTATTCTTTATCTTCTTCTTTTCTCTAAGGTAGTAATGGAAGAGGACATTAAAACACAATTAACTGATGCTAAGGGACACGGAAGAATGGTTTGCACTCAACTGTAAGGACGAACATTGCATGACTGAGACAGCATCTCCGAAGATGGACGATTGTAATTTGACAGAGTTAGCACTCTGATGAAGTCCTGCACATGATGTCTGAACAGATGCATCCAAAGTCAAAAACTTCCATTAATTCATAAACTTGATTAAAACCACAAGGAAAATAATAGGTGTGCCAAACAGCAAGCTTATACACAATGTAAACCATTCAAAATACAGCAGCTTAAAGTCAAGCTGCACGAAGAACAAAACAAAACCCAATTCAGCTGAAGCAAAATTCATCAGAAAATGCATAAAGTTCCTTCTTTTATTAAATTTCAGATCGACGGTAAAGTGTTGACAAAGACAAGAATCAGATATTTAGCTTTAGATCTTTCTAATGATATTAGGAAGTCAGTAAAGGAAAAAGGAAGACAACAAAGTAAACGTATCGAGGGAAAAGTTAGAGTGAGAAAATAGAGAAAAAGAAGTAAAATTCCGAAGACAAAACAAGAGTTGACGGAAATGAAACAAAACATAAATTTGGATCTAAATAACAGCAAATAATTCAGTGTTAGATTTGAATATTTTACCTGGGAACGATGGGAAGGTCGAACAAAGGAGGCGGTAGGTTTGAGAAGAGAAGAGAAAGCCATTGATTCAGGAAGATACGAAGATACTTATGAGGTTGGTGTGTATATGTGTATGTATTGTATATCTATATATAGTATGCAAAACCCTAGAGCGAGAGAGAGAGAGAGTGAGAGAGAGAGAGAAGAAAGAGCAGAGAAAAGAAGGCTAATGTCTGCGAATAATAAAATGAGAAGGGAGCGGAGATTCTAAAGAATAAGCAGTTGGTTGTACAGTACAGACCTACTAACTTGTCTCACGCTCTCAGTCAGCAACGGAAGGGGCGGAAAGTAGCTATCATAGTATCCCATGATGGCCCGGGCCGGGCCACATATTCTTGAAATTAAAAAATAGTGGTCGTTCAAAAATAGTCACAATTTCAAAAATAATCGAAATTTAGCCACTTTTTATGTAAAGATAAATCTGAACGAAAATACTGTTTAAAATCCAAAAAAATACTCCAGCATAATATACTAAAGTTCCAGTATACTATATTGGAACTCCAATCTAATATACTAGAGTTCCAGTATAATATATCGGTCCAGCATAATATACTGGAGTTTGGAGCACCGGTGATCCAGTCTCCAGTATATTATACTGGAGCCAACAAAGTATACAGGTCCAGCATAATATGTTGGAAGTTCATACACAGATGCACCGAACGTATATTATGTTAGACCGGTCTCTGTTGCAGCAAAATAGTGGCTATTTTTTATTGACTTGGTAAACGCTAGCTGTTTTTGAATGACCAATCCGAAAACTGACTAGACCGTGCTATTTTTACCTCTTTTTCTTGTAAAATAGCACATGCTAGTCATTTTTCGTACTTGTAATTTAAAAATAGCCAGCGTTTGTCAAGTCATTAAATAATAGCCACTATTTTGCTGCAACAGAGACCGATCTGACATAATATACTGGAGTTCGGTGCACCTGTGTATGAACTTTCAGCATATTATGTTGGACCGGTATATTTTACTAACTCCAGTATAATATACTGGAGTTCCAGTATACTTTGCTGGAACTACATTATATTATACTGGAGTTCAAGCAAAGTATACTGAAACTCCAGTATATTTACTGGTGTTCCAGTATATTATACTGAAATTTTAGTATATTATGCCGGAGTATTTTCCGTATTTTGAACAGTGTTTTTGTCCAGATTTATCTTTACATGAAAAGTGGCTAAATTTTGATGACTTTTGATATTGTGGCTATTTTTGAATGATCACTTATAAATCTGACTATTTTTGAATTTCTTCCCTTTTTCTTGTCACAGTACGGGTAGCCATTTTTTGAGTAGTAATCGAAAAATATTTGTAAAGTCATTGAAAAATAATTATTGCTTTGCTGAATACGGAAAGTTCCAACATAATAGATTATGGAGTACATGCGTATAAACTTTCAGCATATTATGTTCGAACTCCAGCATACAGATAGTTTCAACATAATATGGGGGATTATGAAGCTCATATATATAAACTTCTAAGATGGAACTCCAACATATAATAAAAATACAACATAGAGTCAAACCTCTCTATACTAGCATCATTTGTTCTGACATTTTTTAGCTTTTATAGTGAATGGATATTATACACCTATAATAATATTTAACGTTTAAATATATTTTGACTATTATAAATAAAAATTATCCAAAAATTAGTCTTGTTTCCCTTTTTTAGTGTTACGTATAAAAGATTAAAAAAAATCCAAATTTAATATCTCAAAAAATATGCATGTTTCACTTGTTCAATGTTAAAGAAAGCTAATACATTATTAATAAATCCTTAACTAAACGTACAAAAATTAAACTCTAAATTACATATTTTAAAGCTATTAGAAAAATAAATTATTTCAAGATTGATAAAAAAAATATTACAATTGTAGCTTCTTTCGTAGATTTCATTCTCTTACTAGTAACATAATGCTTGAATTGGCGTTCAAACTTTCATCGTAAGGGCATCCGATAACTTTCCCTTGAAGGCAATTTAAATGCTTAACAGTTGAATCTGCTATCTTGTCACGTGTCCTATATATTATGCTGGAATATTTTCGAATTTTTAAGAGTGTTTATTAAGATTTTATCTTTACATGAAAAGTGACTAAATTTTGGTTACTTTTAAAACTGTGGCTATTTTCAATTATCAGTTATAAATATGGCTATTTCTGATGTTTACCCCTTTTTCTTTTTGAAAGATTATGTTGGTATTTGGACATAAGAATTGTAAAATTTTGGAAAAAAAGTATTAAAAAAAATTAACTGAAAATGATATTTGAAAATTAAAGTTGTGTTTGGACATTAATATAATTTTGGGCTTTTTTGAATTTTTGTGCGTGACTTGAAGTGAAAATTTTGGAAAACAGTTTTCTGGAGTTTTTATGATTTTCGAAAAATTCAAAAATTCTGAAGTGAAAATTAAAAAATTTCATGGCCCTGCTTTCGAAAAAATGAAAATTTTCGAAAAAAAATAATTTTAAAAAAAGTGTTTGGGCCGGGCCGGGCCACGTATCTCATTACTGTCGTTTTCTATAACACACAAAACACGTCTCAGTTTACTGAGGTGACAGCTGGGGCCCACTTTCTTTTCAGGACCAGCACTTTTGCCTTTTTGACTTTGTTATTGTTATTTTTCAGGATATAAAATCTTGCAAAGTAATTGAATTTAATAAAAATTCAATAACAAAATAAGCACAACATTTAGGAAGACAAAACAAAAACACTGGTGCCCAATTTAGTAAGGAAAGAGAGAGGGGATGACGGTCTGTTCTATATGACTATGAGACAGCCAAAAGGGTCAGAGCGGCAACTCCAAGCAACCTTCAGTACGTAAAGTTTAATTCAAAAAGTTTAAAAAACAAAGGATCTTCACATCTGTATCCTACTGTGCTTATATTATTTCTGATCTTTTTTATATTGTCACAAGTTCTATAGTCTATTTTCGTCTTTTTGAATTGAGGGTCTCTCGGAAACATCCTCCATATCCCCTTTGGAGTTGGGATAAAATCTGCGTTTATTGGGTTGTTATTGTTGTATAAAGGATCCTCAAAAAATAACATTGTAAAGATATTTTTTTTTGTATATATAGATGTTTCTGTGTCATATACAAAAAAAATATACAAATTTTATATAATCTTACGACTACCTAATGTAAATAATTTTGGCCGCGAGCTAAAAGTGATTTTTGCCCCCACTAAATTCCTATTTTCTACTATTTACAAACTACCATCGTCGTGATCTGAGGGTATCAGAAATAATCTCTTTACACTGGAACTCTCTACTCCTCTGGAGTAGAGGAGTAGGAGGTAAGGTCTAAGTACATACTATTCCACTGGGTCGTCGCCATCCCTACTATTTACAAACTATCACAGAAATGTTAATATTCAGTCCATCCCCTGGCCTATGGTTAGTAGTTCTTGAGCTGTCAAAACTCAGCTTACACCTCAATTTCATCTCCATTACTTGTTTAGGAGCATGTAATCCACCTCCAGTTCTCATCTCCAATTCATCATATTTTCTCTAAAATTTTCAAACTTCATGAGATTTAAATAATTAATATTCAGAAATACAACTATGAACATTCCAGGGATGGAGACACATAGTTACAAGCCGACTCATCCAATGCTGTCTCGCCCCAAAATTTCACTAAGTGTATGTAAACAATATTTCAAAACAAATTACATACAGAAACTATCAGTCCAAGCGGTCAAGCTGATTCATTGCCAAAAGAAAGGTTGCAGACCTCATTTCGACGTTGTTCCTTTCCATTGCTGTCAAGAATGACCAATTGAGCAATAACGATAAGTTGGATATTAAGGAGCCTCTTGATCTCTCAAGTGTGAGAGGGCAAGACTTAAAGAAGAATGTAGAAATTCTCCTTTTTGGCTGATGAGTGGAGAAATAACTCAAAAACTCCACATCTGATAACTAACACAACATGTTCCTCTGTCGCCGCTTGTGCAAAATGCAGCTCCCACAGATACGTCTGCTTATACGTCTTTTGCTACTCTTTCTCTTTTCTGCTTTTTATTCCTTCCCTTTCTCTCGTTTTGCATTTTCACTTTCTGAGCTTTACGACTTTCTGCTTTCTCCTCAAAGCCATCATCCATCATCTTCATTGATGCGACACGCCTAGCCTTGTAAACCTTCAAAAGAGGAAAAAATTCATGTGAAGCTAAAAGAATTTCAACCACCACTCTGCTTTAAGGAGGGACATCAAAGTGGAATATAAAACTAGTACTATAAACTTCGGATGTATTTGGTACGACAGAAAGTGACGTAAGTTCTTACTAATATTTTCCAGAAAGACGTTTTCCAATATTTGGTAGGAGGTTAGAAAATATTTTCTTAAAAATATTTATTAAAGATTGACAACAACATTAGCAAACCGGATATTGTTTTGGTAAAGTTTTTGAGTATTGAAAATTGACAATAATGTAAAGTTTTTGAAACTAAGTGTTGCGATTGTTGCGAAGGACAATGACTTCCACCTAAAGTGAGGGAAGTCAGTCTCCCTCTTTTGGTGGAAAATATTTTCCCTAGAAAAAAAGTCTATTCTGATTAGGAGTGGCAAACGAGCGGGTTAGGTCAGATATGGTTCGGGTCAAAGCGGGTAATGAAAAAACGGATAAATTATCCGACCCGACCCATATTTAATACGGATAAAAACAGGTTAAGATAATATGGTTAACCATATTATCCATGACTTCTTGCATATAATCACTTTTGGGAGAATTCTTAGTCTCCCTAACTTGAGTAACTCCCAATTTGAGACTTTACAAATGTAAAAGTTAGACACATTGTTTATCCATTGATTACCCATTGGTTATCCATTTTCTAAATAGATAATATGAGTCTTATCCGTATTTGACCCGTTTTGAAAAAGTTCATTATCCAACCCATTTTTTAGTGGATAATATGGGTGGTTAACTTTTTCTTTGAACCATTTTGCCACCCCTAATTCTGATAACCAAATATCAGAAGATAACTAATTTTCTGAAAATATTTTCTGCCATACCAAACTTCACTATTCAAGCATGTGCACATTGCATCGAGGTATAATTTTTTTTTGCATAAAGTGCGTATAAAAATTGTTTTACGCCATATCAAATGCACCCTTTAGGCCTGTGGGTTACTCATTGCATAAAGTTGCTCAACTCAGGTATTCAGAAACATGAATACTGGCAAATGATGACATATCCTTTCCTCATATAAACTCATTTAAACTGACCA